TACACAGTAGAGAAATAAAAAGTTACCACGGTCTACATATTAAAAGTAGCTCTTTGAATATAATAGATCATAGCTCATTAGTATTCATGAAAATACGATTTTTGTGTGTAGACCGTGGCGATTTTTAAGGTATAGCTGATTTTATATGTCTTGCTGCATACTGGTGCAAAACGTAATTGGACAAGCCTTTTAATCTATATTTTTAATCGTTTGCGCGCTTATATACTTCTAAAATCACTGCAAAAAAGTGTAGACCGTGTTTCGAGCTTTGAATATTATGTTACACATTACGTCACTCGATCGGAAAGTATAACATATCAACTTAACAATTATAGCAAAGCCCTGTAACTTAATATAATTCAGATGTTTAGTTCTTGCCTTAATTAAATCATGTATATATAGGTTTCTGTTGAACATTGTATTCAGCAAGTTTTAGATGCACCTTGAAATTGCACTGTCAGAACGAAGCTGTAATATATAGTTAAAACATACAAACGTACTGGCATATATCGTAAGCGGCAGTTAACGAATTATAATACTTGTATGAAAAATGTCATTTAGTTGTATAAATTAGATTCTCAAGCACTTCAAGAATGCATAAACAGGCTTGAGACTAGTACAATATATATATATTCTGTCATTCTCGTCACAGAATTATTGCTAAAAATTAGGCTCGTGGGCGGGTTTTTTGGTTAGGAAATCTGTGTCTTTACCGGACAATTTTTTTTTTCAAAAGATGGTCAGGAATGGATTATTGAGATGCAAACAAGCGCAATTTTACTGACAAAGCACAGTTTTTGCCTTTTTGTGTCATATTAGATACAAGAACCGTCTATTATTTTCTATGGTGATTTTCAGACAATCCTGGCCAAAACTCGTGTGGACACTTAGTCCACTTTTGCAAAAATCATAACAAACACCTAAAACTTGAATTTACTTGCATATCCCCCACTCCCCCTCTTCAATGTTGCTTATCCGACTTAACCACACTTCGTATTTGATGAAAAATCCCATTCAACATTGGCGTGGGGGAGCCGGGGGATAATTATTTAGGAAAAACGCCTTTCGAGGCCAAATTCTGTGGGTTGTCCACAACCTTTTGTCCAAGATTGTAGCATGTATAGTTGGGTGTAAGCCAAAAATTTCCGAATGACGAAAAAAATTTCCGAATATTTCATGGCATACGAAGCCATGAAGGTGTTTGCTATCCGGAAAATGAAGACGCAATTTACAAACAAAAATACGCATAGTTACGCACAGACATATTACAGAAGCATGCAGTGCCGTAGAAAGCTCTTTTTGATTGGGGGCTGAGAACGAGGGCCGGAGGCCCGAGGAAATTTTTAAATTTAGAGTCTCTGACATGCCATTTCCTGGACTTTGGGGGAAGTTTTGACAGAATTCTGATGGTCAGAAAACAGCATTTTAGTTTGTCGAAATTTACAATTTGCTTACAATTTAGTAGTACTAAATGGGCGAAGGCGTATTTAATTAATTAACTATATATTGGAGAAGTTGCAGGAAAGTATGTGGGTAATATTAATATGATTCTTTGCAGTTTCTCGTGGATAATGTGGCCGTTTAAAATTAATCAATTGTCAGTATTTTAAAGGTATATTATTTAAATGTAAAGGTCTGCATGATTTTGAAAAAAAATATATTATTAGGAAATCATTCGGAGGGCCGCTACAGCCCCCCAGCCCCCGGTTGGTAAGTTGCGATTTAGAAGTAATAAAAAGAAAAACATGCATTTACCGATTTACCGCGATTTGTCAAATGTTATCCATGTAAATGCCATGATTTCGTAAATCAGTTTATATCAATAATACAATTATTATATTTTCTTTGTTTAACAACTAAAATTTTGCTGTACTATTATTGCCGTAATTTTCCGAATGGCCAACCCGATTTTCCGAAGATGTTAATTCTAAAAAGGTTGGAGGGGTTAACCACCCAATGCTCAACCTAAATGCTCAACAGATTTTAGTACTATTTAAAGCACGCGTAGGAGTGTTTTATCACATATAAAACACGACGCGTAGCGGAGTGTTTTATATGTGATAAAACACGATTACAAGTGCTTTAAATAGCTTCAAAAACGACTCATCTTATACGAGTTCATTGGCGAAGTAATTTTTAAAATAAACTTTGTCTAAACCGAGAAAATCAAAGCTAAAGTTTATGTAAATTAACGTGATTTTTTATCAGATATAAAACCACGACACGCTTATGATTTTTCTTTGTGTTTTGCTCCTGAATTATTAATGAGTTTTTGAAGTACTATTTAAAACCAAGTGATTTTATCAAATCTTTTTATTTTTTTTTTTTTGACATTGTTAGTTCCTGCCAGTATGACATTGTTAGTTCCTGACATTGTTAGTTCCTGCCGGTAGTGAAAGTCAACATCTGAACCTCTCTCTTACAGTATATCATTCCATTTCTTGTCGAACTTTCGGCATTCATCTCGCTCTTGCACCAGAACGTTCACATCTTACCATGTACACCACACCGTCCTATGTCACCATGCCTTTCCACGCTTCTCTTCCGCACACTCACTGACGATCTTCGGTCGTTTGTCATCCTCCATTCTCATTGGAAGACCAAGCCAAAGCAGCCTCCTCTTTTTTGTTGATACAGGAACCAGATTATAGTCCAGCAGATGATGAAACAGAACAGTACGAAGAAGTCCAAATCTCGCCATCTTCTGTTTACGCTGAGCCTGACAGAAACCGACAAATCGAAACAACAAATGATGGTACCCACCAGAAATTGTTAAAACGCCAAAGTGACTCGGGTTATGTTATCCCAGCAGATGGCTCGCCATCTTCTGTTTACGCCGAGCTTAACAGAAACCGACAAGACGAAACAACAAATGATGCTACCTACCAGAAATTGTTAAAACGCGACTCAGATTATGTGATACCTGATCATACTGAAGTAGGATCATCCTACGAAGAGGTTGGGAAGATAAAAACACCCCCTGGCTACACAGAGCTGGACAACACGAAACGAGTACAAGATGATAGCGCTTGTTACCAAATATTGATAAAGAAATGAGTGTGTTTGGATATGAATTTTCATTTAGAATTTCAACCAATTCAGTATCACTTCTTAGTAAGATACTCGTAAGATGTCAGTTCCAAATTGCTGTTTCACCGTTTGTCGGCTACCAGTTGAGCGGATATTTTGTAAAACACAGTAGTTTTCAGTATACAAGCTATAGCGTTTCGGGAGTATATTGTTCTTAATTTTAAACTGTTTAAAATTCTAAGTTTTAAACTTTACTTTGAGCTCAACCTTACACGACAATAAGATGTCTGTATTTACGTTTTAAACATGAAATGCATGTAACTATAATATAAATAACCGTGAATGAATGGAACAATCCTGAATTGATGCGCTTTTGTGTGAACGTATTCTTAAAATAATAATACCAATATTTTGTTATTTAGAATGTAAATCTCCGCTTGGTATGAAAGATGGCAGAATTAAAGACTCACAGATCACAGTTACTAGTTTTATTAGAACAGCACATAGTAAACAGGCTCGTCTACGTCAAAATATGCCAAACTGGGGAGCATGGTGTCCAAATATGACAGGAATGTCAATGCTTGAAGGGAATTACGACCAGTATATTCAGATTGATTTGTTAAATCTGACAAAAATCACAAGAATTGCGACACAAGGACGAGAATATAATGAAGGAAGAGAGTGGGCTAAGGTCTATAAACTATCATACAGAAAAAATGGTGCCACATGGCATTATTACAAAGAAAAAGATGAAGATGCGAAGGTAAATTTGATATTAAAGATGTTTCATGGATAGAAATTTTGAATGAACCTTAAACATGGCATGACATGCACATCTCTGAAACCTTATTGTGTCAATACTTCACTGACTGTTAATTGCATTGCATATACTGCTGTGTTTCAGATCTTTCATGGAAACACCGACGTATCCACTGTTGTAACACATGATCTAGATCCTACAATTATGGCAAGGTACATCAGGGTTCATCCAGGTTATGACAAGGGTAATCATGTATGCATGAGACTTGAGCTATATGGTTGTGCGGTTGAACGAGGTTTGTGATAATTTTGTTTTCTTTTCTTTAGCCATGTTATACTGACTGTAAATGCAGTATATTATACATTGTACTCTTTTGCTATTCTAGTTATTCTCTCCTACTCAATGCCAGTTGGGCAAACAACCATGGACGGTAAAGTGCAATACAAAGACACATCTTATAATGGTGTAATTATCAATGACTTTTACAAAGATGGCACTGGAATACTTACCGATGGCAGGTTTGGTCCTGGTAACGCAAAAGAATTTAAAGGCAAAGGATGGGTGGGATGGTCTTCCATGCAATCTTACTCAAGCACAATATATCGACATGATATTTGAATTTTCTGGTGTGAGAAAGTTCACAGATGTTACACTAACTGTGAATGTTAACAAGAAACGCAGTAATGCTATATTTAATAGATCACAGATATTCTTCTCTTCAACCAAAGACAGTTTCTTAAACGCATCATTTATTCAGCACTATCCAAAAAATTATAATCCATACAATGCGAAAGTAACTTTGTCACTTTGTGAAAATACAGCAAGGTTTATGAAGTTGCGGTTATATTTTGGTGGAGAATGGTTGCTAATCTCTGAGATCAGTTTTAATTCAGGTATTTTTTTGTTAGGTTTATTTTTAATTTCTGTAGACTTGTTTACTTATACATTGCTATTTTACTCTATTGTCAGATGATTTTACTTGTTAAAGAAAAAGTGAAAAGTTGGGCATTAATGGCCTTAATTAGACTATCTGTCCATGTCTTTTGTTAACTCATCACTCGTCCCCAGTCCTCTCATCAACTTCGGAATGGCTAATAGAGCCATTCCGAAGTTGATGAGAGGACTGGGGACGAGTGTTAAAAAGTGCCCAAATTAAGAAATGAACCAAATAACTAAAAATACCACCTCAAAATTAGTCAGTATACAAATTTGAAGATGTCTACATGAATACCCTTCGAATAATAAGCTTTCCAAAATTGTGAAATTACTGATTAAAAGATTGTTTTGGGGACGCGCGTCCCAAAAACAAAAATTACAATACATTTCATAGTAAATATCACGATTTTCGAAAGCTTATTATTCGAAGGATATTCATGTAAATCAGTAAATGTCTTCAACTAATTTTGACTAATTTTGAGGTGGTCTTTTTAGTGATTTGGTTCATTTCTTAATTTGGGAACTTTTTAACACTCGTTCCCAGTCCACTCATCAACTGCGGAATGGCTAATTGGGCCGTGCATTGACTGGGAATCTCCCGAATTGAATCTGAAACTCCCGATGTTTCAGAAGCATTTGCTTATCATTGAAGACTTTCATGTTAAAAATGAATGTATCAACTTCTTTAATGCATAGTCGTCAGTGAATTTCTTATTTGAAATCACTGTGATTTTATAGTGCATGGTCGGAATATAATCAGTTTTGAGGTCATAAGACATCATGACAAGTAGCTGTCTAGATGGGTGGTTCACAGATTTATGATGATTTCGGTGAAAGTTTTACACGAACTAAGCAAGATTTTCGAAGTCTTTAAACATGTTTTGTCCACGTAATTTTAGAAATGCAATCTCCCTTTAATGAAACCTTTTCCAGTTTTGAGAAATCTGCAGTATGTGCACCATGGCCTACGTGAATGTAACAAAGTTTGTTGTTTCTTGTCATTGTTGTTAGTTCGTGTCAGTACAGATGAAAAGATGAAGTCGCTTAAAGATTGTTTGGGAAATGCAGCAGTTTTTCGTACAACTATACCTTCTGAATGTAAGTGACGAGTATTTAATAGTGGGGAATTAAATGGTTGGTTGATCATGTTGATTAAATACACT